CCAAATCGTCCAGCACTTCTATGCCCTCTATAACCTTGCCAAAAACCGTGTTCTTGCCGTCGAGATGAGGTGCAGGTGCAAATGTAACGAAGAATTGTGAACCGTTAGTGTCTGGTCCCTTGTTCGCCATGCTTATAACCCCTCTGGCATTGTGTCGGAGGGCCGGTCGGATCTCGTCCTCGAAGAGGCCATTCGTCGTGTCGTATATAGAGGTGGAGCTCTTGGACTTGGGGTCGGACGCAGGACTGCCGGTCTGGGCCATGAAATTGGGAATTAGCCGGTGGAAGGGGCTTCCATTGTAGAATCCAGATGCGCAGAGGGCGAGGAAGTTCTCGGCCGTCTTGGGGACAGTCTCGCAGAAGATTTCGAGCTTGATGTCACCGCGCGAGGTGCAGAGCTGGAGCGCTAGTTAGTAGGTAGGTAGGTAGGTAGGTAGGTAGGTAGGTAGGTAGGTAGGTAGGTAGGTAGGTAGGTAGGTAGGTAGGTAGGTAGGTAGGTAGGTAGGTAGGCAAGTAGACACGTGATAGAGTGTCAGCGTGTCAGCGTGTCCATGGTAGTTGATGACATGTATGCAGTCAGACAGCTGGAGGACTGGAGACGTCGTCGTAATGGACATATCTGTAGGTTGGAGAATTGGGGAGCTCGGGGACAAGGCAATGGGCGCGCGGACTTGCAGAGTTATCTGGACTCACAGTAACAGACATGATGCCAGGTCGTCGCGCATCACGGAATACCTGAGTATTCTTGTAATGTATAGGGCGCCGCAAGCTGGCGGGAGGTGATGTTGGCGGTGGTGATGGTGGTGGCGGCTTTGCGCTCACTCTTTCTTGCGTGGGGAACGAGCATGGCGCTCAGCTTCACGCCCCCAATCTGCTTGATGAGCCCCAACACCGTCAAGACCAAGCAAACCCCCGTCCAGCCAGCCCCCTCCCCCCCGCTTCGTTCGCCCTCAGTCTGTCTTTGCCGTCCGGACGCCAGCCAGCGCACTCGCTGCCATATACCTTTATATTATTACAAAGGGTACTGTTGCAGGTCACCATTCTTTTGTTCTTGTGCGCCCTCACTACTACCCTTGTAGTAGCTGTCCCATATTCATTAATACAGTCCAGGCCCAGACTCGTCCGAGCCTATCACCAATTGCATCTCCCGCCGCCGACGACTCAACCCTATCCCTACGAACAACATCAACCTCCGCTCTCAGCGTCCGCCCTCACTCTTCCCCCTCAAAACTCGCCCACATCCACCGTGACTCGACTACCTACTCGTCTACCTACCCGTGCGACCGGCTCGCCATCGCCTGTACCCCGCCAGTTCAAGCATTCATCATACCCGTGGACCTGTATATCGCAAGCCTACCCGCTACAGGCAGCCTACGCAGCCCGCCCAGCGCCTCACGTTCTGTCCAGCGCAACGCCCTGGAGTTCCCCACTGCCCTCGAGCTCAGGTTGGGGAGGACGTAGAACAAGAGGAGCCACAACCTTGCCCATGCGGCTCTCTCTGCCGTCCCAGGCCAACGCCGACCACCCCGTCATCATACACCACCATGGCGGCCTTTGTGCGGGTCTCAGGACCGCCAAACAGTAATTTCTTGGTGGGATATCCAGGCATATCAGCGACACTGGTACGATCTCTGCCATTCTTCCCTGGGACAGGGTCCGGCGCATCTTCCCCCTAGCCACAAGGAGCGATGCGCTGACACGTCCATATTCGGTGAATGGATACAATCATACCTACATTTGCTGACCATCGTACAGCCGCGAATAGAAGGGAAAGTCGAGATTCGACCGCTGGTTGGCATATCCGCACCCGTCCTCGTGTCTCTCGTCACCATCGCCCTACAGCGGCGCGAAACCATCCACCCTTCCGCCGATTCCGTCACCAAGAAGCATCTGGCTGCGCCGCGCAAGGAAATCACCGACATTGTCGGGAAGCAGATGCTCCTGTTCCAGTGTTCAAGCGGAAAGGAATACGAGAGCGTGCTGGCAATGGACCTCCCCTTCGTAATATTCATACCATATGGCCGTGGAGGCGAAGAAGTAGCACGGAGGGTCCCGCCTGCGAGCTTGCAGCTACCGAGTCGAACAGCCGAAACATTCTATGAGCTAGTCGTGACGGTACAGCAAGGGCATACAGAACAGAAAAAATACCCATTTCCAGTTCCCATATCAAGATATGACACCCTCTCCACTTTTGGCATGTACAATCGACCCGAGAGCGCGGAGCGAGTTACCGATCATCTAGTCACCCTGGGGATAAGCCTGCCGCGCTGGAGCTATGGTCCGTTAGATCCAGTATCCGTGTACATCAAACTTAGCCCGAATCTAGACTGGTTGTCAAAAGCGAAGAAGGTCACCATTCAGAAGATCACTGTTGGCATAGACGAGGAGATCATATTCAATCACGAGGGAGATGAACCGACAAGAAAGGTCAAGACACTAGCAAAGACAACGCAAGCTGTTGGCGTCAAGATGCCAGAAGCCGGATACTTTACAAATCTTGGACTGGTGTTCCCCGCAAAGGATCTACGAGATTCAGAAGGCATCATCCCACGAGGAAAGAAGGAGTTTCCCATGTATGCCGTCAACGGGTTCACGACTACCGGTACATTGTACAAGATAGAGTATTACCTAACAGTCAAGGTGAGCTGCACATAGGGGCAAGCACTTCAACGTCTTCTAATTTCCATACAGGCACAAATGTCATCAGCGAGAGACATCCTCCTCCGGCAACCCATAGTTGTTTGTCCTTTTGATCATGCCGGCTGCAAGGAAGAGATGGAGGCAATAGAACAAGCAGCCAAGGACGCTGCCCACGTAACTCCCGACAATCCCATGTTACCCGCAAGCACCATCATCCGCGCAAACGAACCAGGAGGACTCAAGGCTCTGGGTATAGCTATCGTTGGGGGGCAGCGGAAGCCACTCATCGAGTGAGAGGGCTGACGTGGTGGAGACTGGATCGTTGCAATATTCGAATGGACGACCGTGCTTGCTCTGATATCACCATTCTTTCACACAGAATTACGCAGGAGCAAACAGAAGTGCATAAACCAGCATCGGCGTTGTGTGG